CTCGTGGGAACCACCCCCACCGCCCGGGACTCACCACCCTGAGTCTGAACCGCCCAACGCGGCCTCAACGTCGAGGAGCCGTCGCCATCTTTCCCGTTTCCTAGTCGCGGCGATGAACCCCCCCGGCCGCAAGGCAAGCTGGGAAGGCGAGTTCCTGGAGCTGGGCGCACAGGCCGACACTGAGGCCCGGGAACTACCAATCCCAGAATGCACGGCTTGAGCGCCGGCCCTAGGCTGCGGGGTCTGCCGGGCAATGTGGTTTGCCAGACTTTAGCGTCCGGGAAGGAAGAGTTTTTCGCGAATAGGCTTCCGGCATTAGGTTCTCCCGCCGGGCATCCTTCTTGGAATTGGCTGGTCTTCCCAGAAACTATAGTCGATGACAGTCGTTGCCCGTGGCTTACAGTGGAGGAATTTAAGGGCATCCTGAGATATGTGTAGCATGTAATTATAGCTAACAACTGCAGTAACAACAATAAATACCATTCGTGGAAAAGCGGTTTTTATAACAATTCTGTGAGAATGGGGCTAGTCCCATTTTACAGTTGGACAAACTAAAGATTAGGTTACAGGAGTAGGTTCACAAGGAGGGTGTTGCAATTCTCCATTGTGTGTGGAACTATCCCAGGCTTAGGAGGACCTTTTAGCAACCTTGGCCCCTGCAGCCGGGTGAATGCCGTAACAACCCCCAGTTATTGTTACAGCTCCAAATGAGCCCACACAATGGACTCTAAAGTCCTCCCGGAAGGATGGTATCTCCTGGGCTCTAGCACCTGTTTTCTCAACATTCCAGATAGAATCCTGGTTTCCTCAATTTTTTTCCCTTTGGAATGTGACCAATTGTTGAGCTGTCTTGGTATTTTTGCTTCTTTCTTCCCCCAGATTCCCCTACTTCAGTCTTCCACTGAGTTTTGTTGTTGTTTTAACCCCAAATCGTAAGTTAACTTTGTGTTTCTGTTTGTTCTTATGGGTTCATAACTCTTTCCCTCAAAACAAAACAAAACACTGCAATTGCGGAAACTGTTTAGGTAACCGGAAGTATCTTGGACCTCCCTTCCCATTTTCCCAGCAGCAGGTTTGTTGCTTGAATTCCACATGGCTGTAGGTCTGGCTTTTCTCTCCGAATATGCCTTAAGCTCTCAAGCAGAGCCTCAGGATAGACGCAAGTAATCCTAAAGCCCTGAGCATCATGCACACTGGCCCGAAGTAACCCTTGGAGACATACACTTCTCTTAGAACCTGCAGCCTTTCACCTCCCTGCTTCTACTCCAGAGAGAACGGAAGGGAAAGAAGAGAGCTCTGAGATCTGTTAGGTGTAAGTCACCACGAAAGCACGAGAGGGCGCTCGACTCACAGATTCACAGATTCAACTAAAAATCAGACCAACCATGGTAGGCCAGAATCTTCAAAAACTGCAGCCACTTTTTGTTGAGAATCTTCTAAGTGCTCAACTCTGGGCTGGACACTTAACCTACCTTATTTGTTTTACTTAGTTCTCATAGCAGTATGAGATGAGTGCTATCTCCATTTTACTGCTAAGGAGATTGCGGCCCAGAAAGAGTAATTATGCCTTCAAAGGCCACATAGTTAAAAGAATGGGCCGGGTGAGGTGGCTCACGCTTGTATCTCAGCACTTTGGGAGGCCAAGGCAGGAGGACCGCTTGAGCCCAGGAGGTCGAGGTTGCAGTGAGCCATGCTCGTGCCACTGCACTACAGCCTGGGTGACAGAGCAAAACCCTGACTGGAAAAAAAAAAAGAAATAAATAAATAAAAAAGAAAAGAATGGAGCCAAAATTCAGGTTCATTTAACTTCAGAGGCCATTACCTTTCCCCGTTTTCAGACTGCCATCTTAACTCTCTTTAAAGATGAGTAAACTGAGCTCCTGGAGCGTGATAAAGCTTGTCCCAGTTCATAGTGGCAGAGTTCCTCTAGTACTTGTGCACACCTCTCATGACACATGTAGGGCTTCAAGGATACTTGTTATTTGTCTTGCCCCACTAGTTTTCTCACAAATGTGCATCTTTGTTTTCTTATTTGTTTGTATTTTTATTTTATTTTATTTATTTATTTTTGAGATGGAGTCTCGCTCTGTCACCAGGCTGGAGTGCAGTGGTGCAATCTCGGCTCAATGCAATCTCCAACTCCCTGGTTCAAGCGATTCTCCTGCCTCAGCCTCCCAAGTAGCTGGGATTACAGGCATGTGCCACCACGCCCAGCTAATTTTTGTATTTTCAGTAGGGAAGGGGTTTCATCATGTTGGCCAGGATGGTCTCGATCTCCTGACCTCGTGATGCACCTGCCTCAGCCTCCCAAAGTGCTGGGATTACAGGCGTGAGCCACCGTGCCCAGCTTATTTACTCATTTATTTTTGAGACAGGATTTCACTTTGTTGCCCAGGTTGAAGTGGAGTGGCACAAACAGCTCACTGCAGCCCTGACTTGGGCTCAAGCGATCCTCCTGCCTCATCCTCCCAAGTAGCTGGGACCACAGGTGCACCCCATCACGCCTGGCTAATCGTTTTATTTTCTGTAGAGACAGGGTCTTGCAATGTTGTCCAGTCTGATCTCAAACTCCTGGCCTCAAGCAATCCGCCCGGCTTATCCTCTCAAAGTGCTGGAACTACAGGCATCAGTCACCGCACCCAAACCATCATCTTTGGAGATGGAGACAGAGGAATGGTGTTCTAGTAAGAACCATAACTGGAGATACCTATTTAGGTACAACATGCCTACCAGTAAGGGGTCCATAGGATTTTGGTTAACAGTGAGATCTGGTTTGAATCTTGGCTCAATTACTTACTAGTACTGTGATCTTGTGCAAATTATATGGCATCTCTGGCTTTTCTCTTTCCTCATTTACAAAACAGAGATAGTACCACTTCCCTCACAGGACAGGACAGCAGAGCAGGTTAGAGTGCATGATGTGCAGTCAGATTGCCTGGATTTGTATCCATGTTCAGCCACTTTCTAGCTGTGTGACCTTGTGCACATTACCTAATCTCTCTGAACCTCGGTCTTCTTTTTCTTTAAAATGAAGTAGATAGTGGCCGGGCACCGTGGCTCACGCCTATAATCCCAGCACTTTGGGAGGCTGAGGTGGGTGGATCACCTGAGGTCAGGAGTTCGAAACCAGCCTGACCAACGTGGAGAAACCTCATCTCTACTAAAAAAAAAAAAAAAAGAAAAAGAAAAAAGAAAACAGAATTAGCCAGGCATGGTGGTGCATGCCTGTAGTCCCAGCTACTTGGGAGGCTGAGGCAGGAGAATCACTTGAACCCAGGAGGCAGAGGTTGTGGTGAGCCAAGATCACGCCATTGCACTCCAGCCAGGGTGAAACGCCATCCAAAAAAAAAAAAAAATAGCACCTCATAGGCTTGTAGGGTTATCACAGGAATAAATAACATAGAAAGAACTCATAAGTGGGGCCGGGCACCGTGGCTTATGCCTGTAATCCCAGCACTTTGGGAGGCTGAGGCAGGAGGATCACTTGAGCCCAGTTTGAGAACAGCCTGGACAACATGGTGAAACTCCATCTCTACAAAAAATAGACTACTGTGGTACTCCTGTAGTCCTAGCTACCCAGGAGGGTGAGATAGGAGGATCAGTTGAACCAGGAGGGTGAGGTTGCAGTGAGCAGTAGTCATGCCACTGTACTCCAGCATGGGCGACAGAGTGAGACCCTGTCTCCAAAAAAAATAAAAATCTCGTAAATGCCCCCGACCCATAGTAAACATTGAACAAATGTTAGCTCTTATCATTTATGAGGCTAAACGTGATCATATAAAGCCCTCAACACAGTGCACAGTGCTGAACACTCATTAAGTACATGCTAACTTTATTTATTTATTTAGAGACAGAGTCTCCCTCTTTTGCCCAGGCTGGAGTGCAGTGGTGCCATCTCAGCTCACTGCACTTTGCCTCCTGGGTTTAAGCAATTCTCCTGCCTCAGCTTACAGGCACATGCCACCATGCCCAGCTAATTTTTTGTATTTTAGTAGAGATGGGGTTTCACCGTGTTAGCCAGGATGGTCTCGATCTCCTGACCTTGTGATCCACCCGCCTCACCCTTCCAAAGTGCTGGGATTATGGGCGTGAGCCACTGCGCCCGACCTAGTACATGTTAACTTTATTTCTAGCACTAGCACTACACTATGGCACTTGGAAAACAAGAGCTATAAGTCACTGAGAAAGGAAGAGTTAAGGTCCCTGAGCTGCCATCAGTAGGCATCGGAATTGGAAGGTTATGAAGGCAATGTCACCTCTCCTCGAACTCAGAGGAAACTAGAATCCCAGGAGCCTCCCCCAGCTTTGGCTTAGTCTGTCCACCTATGTGGAGTGGGATCTCAGCAGTTTGGATTCTCTACTAATTATTTCATCAAACCTTTTTCTCTCCTCTAGACTCTCCAGGGCAGTGGTTCTCAACCAGAATTTTTCCACAGGGGTCATTTAGCAATGTCTGGAGACATTTTTGGGTGTGATAGCTGGAGAGTGGGGTGCTGTCTTCTAGCATCCACCAGATGTCAGGGACACTGCTAAACATCTTGGGCTGCATAGGACAGTCCCTCACAACAAAGCATTATCCAGTTCAAAATGTCAATAGTTCTAGGGTTGAGAACCCCTGTACCCCTGCTCTAGGGCTAAGGAACCCTTCCTTGGTTTAGCAGGTCTTGGGCGGGGCTGGGGTAGGGGGATGGGGGAGGAGAGAAGCTCCTTCTTGGAGGAGCTGGGGAATGGTAGAGGCAGCCTTTCTGCAACCCACAGAAAGGGCCCCAGAACAGCTTTTCTCTCATTATCATCAATCAAAGGGCTCAGCACAGTGGCTCATGCCCGTAATTCCAGCTCTTAGGGAGGCAGAGATGTGAGAATAGCTTGAGCCCAGGAGTTCGAGACCTGCCTGAGCAATATAGGGAGACCCCGTGCTCCACGAAAAGGGAAAAAAAAAAAAAAAAAAAGACACACACAAAAAAATACCGATTGTAACAACTAAAGAAAACAGAAAAAAATGCGGAGCCAAACTCTTTATATGTATTATATTTTTCATTAATAAATAGGTTTTCTTCATTAAACACAGAACATATAACAGATTGAAACACTCCCCCCTCCCCCCAATTCCAAAGACAAGAGTCTATAAAACAAATGCCAGCTGTACTGCCCTAAGGGCAGAAAAAGTCTGGTGACCCCCACCCAGCCCTGCCCCTGCAGCACCACCACCCCCACACTCTGCAAGAGAAGGGGGTCTGGGGCTTCTCCCTTGGACCCTGGGGACTTAGGTGAGAAGCATGTGAATGTATGATGTCACCTCTCCATGAGGCATGGGCTATGCAAAGATGAGGTTTCCTTCTCATTGGCTCTGACCAGCTCCTGCACTTCCGATTGCATTTACGAAGCACCTGGGCTAAACCCCCAAGGGAGCTGCCACTCGGCTTCCCCACTCTGTTCAACTGCTGCCTCCTTAGAGGGGAAGGGAAGGGCTCTGGGACCCCTCCCATCCCCTGGCCTGCATGGAAACGCTGTGTGGAAGAGGCATGATGCTGAAGGTGAGGCTGCTGTAGGCCTCCAAGCCCAGGAGGCCAGCATGCCCCCCCGTCCCCCACAGCTTTCCTTCCTCTGGAGCGGGGGGGCACTGGGGTAGCCGCCCCCTCCACAACCTAGTGCCTAGCTTGGGGTATGATGGTTCTATCTCAGCATCAGGTCCTCATGCCGGGCCTGGCTCCTTCCTCGCCCCATTCCTGTCTCCTTCCAAGCCCTCACCGTGGCCATCTGAAAAACTCATGTCCAGTGTCCTAAATTGTCTCATCCTCCCTCTCCCCGTGCCTCTGCACCCCAAGGGAGGAAGTAGGGGGTTGTCTCCCCCCTCCAATTTCCACTTCACATAATGGAACAGCTTTTGGCCTTTTCCTTCTTGAAGGTAGAAGAGATGAGTTCAGAGCGACTGGGGAGGTGGAGCAGTCGTTTGGAGAGGCTTCGGACAGGGCTCTTCTGGGGTAGTGGGCTAGGCTTGTTCAGACACACCATGGAAGCCATCCGAAAGATGCTGTGGATGCTCTTTTCTGAGGTGAAAGCCGAACCTTCCAGGTAGATTTCTGCACCCAGCTGCTTGGCTATTGCACAGCCCTGCAGGAGGGGGTGAGGGCATTAATGCAGTGGGCCACAATGGCTCTGAGACGCTGCCTCTTGTGTGTCACTCCCCAGGGCCACTCCAGAGGGGACCCAGCTGCCAATCTCCAAATACCACCCTCTGCCGATTATTCGATTGTCTTGTCTTTTTTTTTTTTTTTTGGCATACACCCTGTCCGATGATGCCTCTTTTTCTTAAGACGATGTGTGACTACACATTATAAATCACCTGGAATACTCTTAAAACTATATTGATGCGAAACTAAATCAGAATTCCTGGGGATAGCTGGGGCAGTGGTTAGTGCCTCTAATCCCAACTACTCAGGAGGCTGTGGTAGGAGGATCACTTGAGGAGGCCAGGAGTTCAAGACCAGCCTAGGCGGCCAGGCGCGGTGGCTCATACCCGTAATCCCAGCACTTTGGGGTTACAAAAATAAATCTCAAAAATAAAAATAATAAAATAATAAAAACTTTTTAAAAATGTTTAAACATTCGCTGGAAGTGGGCACAAAACTATAGTCTCAAATACTAGGGAGGATCCCTTGAGACCAGGAGTTCTACCCTGCAGTGAGCTCGGATCATACCACTGCACTTCATTCTGGGTGACAGAGTAAGACCCTGTCTCTGAGAGAAAAAAAAAAAAAAGGAAAAGGAAAAAAAATCTGGGTATAGAGCCAAGGCATTAGTATTCTTTTTCTTTTTTCTTTTTTGAGACAGAGTCTTGCTCTGTGCCCAGGCTGAAGTGCAGTGGCACAATCTCAGCTCACTACAAGCTCCACCTCCTGGGTTCACGCCATTCTCACGTCTCAGCCTCCTGAGTAGCTGGGACTACAGGTGCCCACCACCACGCCCGGCTAATTTTTTGTATTTTTGGTAGAGACAGGGTTTCACCATGTTAAACAGGATGGTCTCGATCTCCTGACCTTGTTATCCACCCGCCTCAGCCTCCCAAAGTGCTGGGATTACAGGCTTGAGCCACCGCGCCCGGCCAGCATTAGTATTCTTAAGAGCTCCCCAGGTCAGGTGCAGTGGAGGCCAAGGCAGGTGGATCACCTGAGGTCAGGAGTTCGAGACCAGCCTGGCCAACATGGTGAAACCCCATCTCTACTAAAAATAACAAAAATTAGCCGGGTGTGTTGGCAGACACCTGTAATCCCAGCTACTTGGGAGGCTGAGGCAGGAGAATCGCTTGAACCCAGGAGGCAAAGGTTGCAGTGAGCTGAGATCGCACCACTGCACTCCAGCCTGGGTGACAAGAGCGAAACTCCGTCCCCCAACCCTATGCTCTCATGCACATAAGAAATTATCCAGGGGTCTTATCAAAAATGCAGATTCCAGGCCAGGTGTGGTGACTCACACCTGTAATCCCAGCACTTTGGAAGGCCAAGGTGGGAGAATCACTTGATGTCAGGAGTTCAAGAACAACCTGGGAAACATAATGAGACCTTGTCTCTACAAAAAATGTTAAAGATTAGCTAGGTATGGGGCCTGTACCTATAGTCCGAGCTACTAGGGAGACAGAAGGGAGGATCACTTGAGTCCGGGAGGCCAAGGCTGCATAAACAACTATTATGTGACTGCACTCCAGCCTAGGCAGATCACTTCTTTTTTTTCTTGAAACAGAGTCTCACTCTGTTACAAGTGTGCACCACCATCCCTGGCTAATTTTTTGTATTTTTTGTAGAGACGGGGTTTCACCATGTTGACCAGGCCGGTCTTGAACTCCTGACCTCAAGTGATCCACCTGCCTCGGTCTCCCAAAGTGCTGGGATTACAGGCGTGAGCTACCACATCTGGCTCTTTTTTTTTTTTTTTTTTCCCCTTGAGACAGAGTCTTTCATTCCGTCACCCAGGCTGGAGTGCAGTGGCACATTCTCAGCTAACTGCAACGTCCATCTCCCACGTTCAAACAATTCTCCTGCCTCGGCCTCCCGAGTAGCTGGGATTACAGGTGCATGCCACCACAACCTGCTAATTTTGGTATTTTTAGTAGAGACAGGGTTTTGCCATGTTGGCCAGGCTAGTCCTGAATTCCTGAGCTCAAGTGATCCATCGGCCTCGGCCTCCCAAAGTGCTGGGATTACAGGTGTGAGCCACCGTGCACAGTGCCCCTCCTCCTTTTTTTTTTTTTTTTGAGACAGGGTCTCTTTTTGTGTGTGTGTGAAATTCTAATGAACACCTCTAATGATTCTAATGCAGGTGGTCAGAATACAGTCTTAGAAATGTGGGCACACACAGGAATAACTCGCCTGCTAACTGACAGCATACATCTGGGTAAGCAGGTACCCATTACCTCTCTCCAGGTGACTCATTTGCTAATTATTACAGCAGTTGTCTCTTGCCATAGTGGAAGAGTTTGAGCCAGGGCCATATTTCAAGCTGTCTGCCTCTAGCCTTCCTCACTTCAACCTACAACACGCATTTGCACATGCACATACCTGCTCATAGGAGATGGGCGCCTGCTTCTGGTGGGACAGCTCCATCAGAGTACTCAGGTCTGTTCGCAGGTCTGTCTTGCAGCCAATGAGCAAAACGCGGGTACTGGGACAATAATCTAGGATTTCTGTCCTCCACTGAGGGGTCGAGCAGGAAGAAGGGAAGGAGAAGGAGGAAGGGAGGAGAGTTAGTAGTAGACAGATACCAGGAGAAGCTTGGCTGGCAACATTACACACATCACCTCGCTTATCACCAGCCCAGTCCTCCCTATGAGTCACAGCATCGCCACTGCACTAATTACATCATCTTCCCGCCCATGAGGCCTTTGGGGCCCCCAGGGTGCTGACCCAGGAGCCTGTTCCCCCAGTCTATGGCCCAGTCACCAGAGAGAGCGCAAGGGCAATTCTCCTCCCACTCTCTGCCAAGCATACAGAGCATGGATCTGCCCCCTCACCCCAAAGGGCCTCACAAGTCCAGAATGCCAGGGGGAAGCCAACCAGTCTCTTCCCAAGGGAAGAAGGTGATCCCAGCATCTTCTATACTCTACTAGATACACAAGGTTTCCTAGGACTCCTCAGCATTGGCGGATCTGCCCAGACCCAAGCATTTCATACCAGCAGCTCAGCTCAGACCTGCCTAGCTTGCCCATTCTCAGTGGGACTGGGACCAGGGTCTATAGAAGCTGCCTCCAAAGATCCCATGCCTGACCCTCATACCATATCACTTAAAGGTTCTCTGACTCTCTGTCCTCTGCTTCCTGAGTCTTCAACACCACCCTCCCCTGTGGGGCCTCTGGCAAGGCAGCATGGGATAACAAAAAGGGTGGGAGGCAGCAGGGTAAGCAGACCCAAGTTCCAGTCCCAGAGCTGTAGCTAATGGTGTGGCCTTGGGCAAATCTCTTCCTTCCTGGGCTTCCGTTTCTTGATGTTATACAAGAGGGCATTCATGACAAGGTCCCCACGATTCCTTCTTGGTCCTCATGCTGAGTTAGAGATTGGAGAGTTGATCTAGTCTTACCTTCTTGAGTGCGCTGTCCACTGTCTCTGGACGGCTGATGTCAAAACATAGTAATACTGCGTCCGAGTCGCTGTAGCAGAGTGGACGGACATTATCGTAGTAGGGAGATCCTGGTGTAGGCCAGAAAAAGTTGATGGTGAGCCACGGTGCTTTCCTTCCCCAATAGGCCTAAGCCCTAAAGCCCTGGGAATACCACCCACGATCCCTGAGGATCCACCCATCTCCCGGGGGAATGTGCTATGGCTGGAAGCTTGGGACCTGACCGTCTGCCAGAAGGTCATGCAAGAATATCATCCCCCTTGGTCCAGAAAAAGGGAAAGAAGGCAAAATAAAGTGGGTGGAGTATAATTTGGCCCTGTCCGGGTCTCCTACAGCAGCTTAATTGGACATCTACTAGTTTTCTGAGTCCCAGAAGATGCTTCCAGCCCTGCAGAGAGACAGTGCTTATTTCAGGGTTCCTCTCTTCTAGAGCCTGCCTGCTGCCCAATTTCACTCCCCTCTGCTCCAGGGTCTCCCCAGTGAAGAGACAAACCTGCCTGTTACGTAACCTGGCTGCTGCTTTGCCATGGGGTCAGAACTTTAGGAGGCTAGCAGGGGAGGGAAAGAATCAAGGGTTCAGTGCCCCACTTCTCCACCCACCCAGATCGGCTTACAGTGAAAAGGGCAAAAGGAAAGCTGTACCCCCTGACCCCCCCACATCTCAGAAAGGCAGTCTCAAAGACAGCAGCACCGATGGCTGGGGATTTAGAGGCTAGAGCAAGAGTCCTTCGTTGGGGGGGAAACAGGCAATGCAGACCCAGGTGGTCCCGTATGGGAGAATGCTAGGGGCTGAGCCTACCCCCTCCACCCTGGGGAAGGAGCAGTAGCGGATTTGGAACCCAGACAATCCGTGCTCAGAATAGCAAGCAGCCCCTCTCCCTGCACCGCAATCGCCATGGAAACTGGGGGGAATCCAAGCTGGTGGGGGGATGTTGGTCATTAAAAAAAAGGAATACAGGGGAGTTGGGATAGCTGCCTGCTCCTTTAGCAAGCCTCCCCCATCCCTTTCTGAGGTGGGGTCTTACCACTGCAGCACTGAGGAGCGGAAGCACTGCAGCATTGGGGAAGGGGGAGGGGAGGAGGCCTCCATTTTGGCTCCAAGCAATCCCCCTCCCTTAAGACCAGCAAGTGAATAATGGGAACAGGGTCAACCCTGACCCCAACATTGGGAAACCCTATCCCACACACCATGGCCACTTCCTCCTTCCTTATGGGAACCTAATCTGAAAGAGGGAGTTTGAGAATGACTGACAGCCTTTATCCTTTCGGAAACTGGGGGTTGGAGGTGTGACACAGGGAATAGAGACTATACTTGCTGATTTTCCATGATCTGGTTTGGGATTTGAGGGCTGCATTCTGACTGTGGAAGGAGGGAGGAGGTGGGGGGAGGGGGTTTGGGCGGTGGTAGTGAAAAGAGATGAGCTGCAGTAAGATTCTGGGAAGATTGGAAGGTGGGAGGGTACAGCAGATGAAAAACCAAAAAATTATACATCATGCAGTCAAACTGCATTCTAGTCCGATCTAGCCAGCGTAGCACAGCCCAGGAGAACCAGAACCCTGCCTCCCAAGCCCTGAAACTGCAACAGGGGAAAAGCACACCAGGTTGGGGAATTTTTGTTTGGGGAGGAAAGGCTCATTGTCTGTCTAACCATCCCCTAGCCCCAATCTTTTCAGACCTCAGAACTGGAGCATGGGAACAACAACTGTTGGAGGAGCAGGACAGCATATTTATTATGTAGCAGGAAACACCCAGTGATTTATGGTCTCTTTTAAAACTCAGCCTGAATATGCATTTTTGGGGAGGGGCGGATTTTATTTTCTTTCTCCTATTCCCGGCTTTTACTCCTTTATTATGACTCTGAGCCAGTCTTTTGAAAATGATACGGGGTAAAAAGATAATGGGAAGGGGTCAGAATTAAGGCAAAGGATAGCCTAGCACTAAGGGCTTGGGGCTGAGAGGCTGGAAAAACATTGTTTCTACATTCTAGAGAGACAGGGCATCTTCTACCTCACCCCAGTAGAGGGAAAACAGGCAGAGCCAACCTCCCCTCTGCCCTGCCGGCCACTATTCACAACTGACTATGCCCTATATTAAGCCATCTCCCCCACCCTCCAAAACATCGATGGTGCATCGCTTCATCCCTGAGCTGCAGCGGTGTGACGAGTGGGGCTGAGCTGCGGCAGGAGGACAGCAGTGGCCCAAGGTGGAATGCAGGAGACGAAACTGAGTCTGAGCAATCTTTCCCCAAAGCAGACTTGTCTCCCCGCCCCAACCACACTGCCTCCAGCAGCACTGCCTCTTGCCTCTTATTTGGCTTTGCTCTGGGGAAGTAAAAAGTGTGTGTGTGTGTGTGTGTGTGTGTGTGTGCGCGCGCGCGCCCCCACACGTTGGGTGGCAGGGAAGGAAAAGGAGAAGTCCTGTTTTACTGCCCTCCCACCCCAAGAATATTCATGGATCCCTTCACCTCACCATCCCAGCCCTCTAAAGGGTGGAACTAGACGCAGGGAAGAGAGTAGCTCCTGGGCTTCACCTACTCTGCACCCTTGGACCATGCAACTGAGTCGACCAACTGTCACCCTTCCCCACAACTAAGGAGTCTTCAGATTCTCTTCTTTCACTTCTCCCCACCAAAGGGGAAAACAACTTCTAGAAGACAGCAGCTACACAGCAGACCAGTGGGGGTGGGAAAGGGGCATTTGGAGCTGAATTCTTACCTGAGGTATCCCAGAGACTAAGCTCCACCCTCTGTTCCTCTGTCTCCAAACAGGCTGTGTAATTTTCGAACACGGTGGGCACATAGGTCTGTGAAAAGAGAGGAAACATTCACCCCGGGCCCCCCTACCCTCAGATCCCCTGGTTAGTGCTGGCTATACGCGCACTCACCAGAGAGACAGTAAAGTCACAGGAGACAAGAAACCAGAGGAGATGCCTGGGTCAGGAGGGAAGGGAATGTGGGGGACCGGGCACTTTGCTCTGTGGCAGTGAGAAATGTGAATGACATCCCCCACCACCACCACCGCACCAGGGGTAATCCCCTCATATCCTAGACGATTAGGGACACACAAACACACACAGATTCTTCCCATCCCCAGATTTGTGTTTCCCAATTTGAGAGAGCCACAGGCCAAAGCCAATCCTAGCTCATCTCCTCTCAAACCCCTCCAGCATGGTGAACAGAGGGCTGCAGAAGCCTGCCCGGAGGCACTGGCATAGAGCCTTTGAGGAGCAGGTGAGCGAATAGGCAGGGATTGCGTCAAGAAGAAACCCCAGACTCAAATGCCTCCAGTGCCCTCTCCTGAGAGCAGACTCCAGGGACGCAGGAAGGTGGAGGGGATCTGATGGGGCCTTTGGGTGAAGAGGTGAGGAGGAGCCAGCGGGGCGGCAGAAGTGGAACAGGTCTCAGGGGAAGCTAAGGCAGGGCAGTCCTCCAGCCAAAAAGCAGCGGAGGATGGGAAAGCCTCAGAAAGCGGCTGAGGATGGGCTGGGGCTGGGGGAGCCACGTCTCCTGGGCAGATGGAAATCTACCCCAAGTCGGGCTGGCAGGGAGAAAAGCCGGCCAGCGGGCGGGCGGGCAGCTCACCTCCGGATAGCAATCCTTCGCTAACACTTGTAACATCGCGGTCTTCCCACACTGCACGTCCCCGACCAGAACGAGCTTACATCTGGCCACGACTGGCTGGGGGGCCCGTCTCTCTTTCATGGTTGCAGTGTCCGCGGGACTTGAATTTCGATTCAGAAGGGAGGGTTGCGCCAGGTGCGTCTCGGCACGCCAACCCAGCCGGATTCCCTGCCTCCCTCCAACTGTGGAGGAGGCCGGCACAGCCGCCTTTTATTTCTCTGATTGAGCCAATCACAAGAGGAGGCGGACTCTGTTACGCCCAATCCCTGAGGTGGGATTCCCTCCAGCAGCCAATGGATCTGAGGATCTGAGTCAGCGCCCCCTTCCTCCCTTCCCTTTCTCTTAAAGCTGCACCTTTGCTTCCCCCAGAAAGGGGATTCCCACGTTGTTCTGCATTTGTATTAGGAAGGGGAAAGGGTACTGGAAGCAAAATGAAATGATCTGGAGTGTCTACCAATAAGTGTCAAAAAAACAAACTAGCTATGGAAGCAGGAAGTGAGGTCAGGCTGGAGTTGCAGGGACTGTCCCGGGTGGGTTAGAAGAGCAGGACCTGCTTAGACTATAGACAGGTGCGTGTGTGTGTTGGAGGAGTGGGGGGTGGGGGAGGTGGCCCAGAGCTTCTCTGACATTTTTTTTTCTTTTTTTTTCCTTACATCTTTTGTTTTAAGTAGAGACAGGGGTCTCACCATGTTGCCCAGGCTGGTCTTGAATCTCTGGGCTCAAGCAATCCGCCTGTCTCAGCCTCCCAAAGTGCTGGGACTACAGACATGAGCCACAGCATCTGGCCTGATATCTGACTTTTTTGTTTTTTCTAACTCCCATCCAAACTAGTTCTTGCTTCCCCTTATTTCCCTTCCCAATATCAGCTCCTGCTGTACCTCTTTTATTTTTATTTTTATTTGTGTGTTTATTTATTCATTCATTTTGAGATGGAGTATCGCTCTTGTTGCCCAGGCTGGAGTGCAATGGCGCGATCTCAGCTCACTGCAACCTCCACCTCCCTGGTTGAAGCAATTCTCCTGCCTCAGCCTCCTGAGGAGCTGGGATTATAGGCACCCACCTCGATGCCCTGCTAATTTTTGTATTTTTGGTAGAGACGGGGTTTCTCCATGTTGGTCAGGCTGGTCTCAAGCTCCCGACCTCAGGTAATCCGCCCGCCTTGGCCTCCCAAAGTGCTGGGATTATAGGTGTGAGTCACCATGCCTGCCTGGCCAGTGTCCCCTTTAAAGCCTTCTCTTCTTCAAGAATCACCTTTGCCACCAAAAAGAGAGAGACAGAGAGAGACAGAAAGAAAGAAAGAAAAGAAAGAAAGAAAGAAAGCTTTCTAGAGTCGTCCAGAAAAAAACACACAGCACCTGACCCAGTGATGGGTAGAGAGAAATGAGGGACTCTGGCAAGTGGGGATGGGAGAGAGGAAGAAGACAAAGCAAACACACTCACTGTTTGGCCAGACAGCCTCTCACCCATGCCTAGCAGGAGCTGCTTAGGGGTGTTTGTTCTGTGGCCTAGGCTCAGCTTCCTGGATGAATCAGGCACAGGTCCAGTTCCATGTTAACGCCCACTGAAACTGACGCACTAATTGTGTCACCTGGTTAAAGTTCAGACTGGACCCAGGATTTGGGGATTAGAAGCTGGAGGACAATCTAAGGTTGAGATGAACTACATAACTTTTTTTTTTTTGAGATGGAGTCTCACTCTATTACCCAGGCTGGAGTGCAGTGGCTCAATCTCAGCTCACTGCAACCTCTGCCTCCCGGGTTCAAGCAATTCTCCTGTCTCAGCCTCCTGAGTAGCTGAGACTACAGGCGCGCATCACCATGCCTGGCTAATTTTTGTATTTTCGGTAGAGACAGGGTTTCACTATATTGGTCAGGCTGGTCTCGAACTCCTGACCTTAGGTGATCCACCCACCTCAGCCTCCCAAAGTGCTGGGATTACAAGCATGAGCCACCGTGCCCAGCTGAGCTTCATAACTTCTTAACAGCCCTGTCCGGTGGGGCCCCTGAATTTTGGGGAGGCTCTCTACTAGAGGGAACTATGGGCTGTCCACAGCTTAAATAAACCACTGATTGTCCAGGAATCAAGACTGTCCAAATAAGGATTCCAGGGGATTTGTGATTGAAGGAAGACCAACTTTGGGCAAAATTGAGAGTAGTCCCTTTCCCTTGTCAAGCCCAGTGTCTCTGGAGCATGACCTGGGCCTTGTTTCACCTGAGCTTTACTTTTTTTATATATATATACAGAGTCTTGCTCTGTCACCCAGGCTGGAGTGCAGTGGCGTGATCTTGGCTCACTGCAACCTCTGCCTCCCAGGTTCAAGCGATTCTCCTGCCTCAGCCTTCCGAGTAGCTGGGATTACAGGTGCCTGCCACCATGCCCGGCTAATTTTTGTATTTTTAGTAGAGATGGGGTGTCGCTATGTTGGCCAGGCTTGTCGTAAACTCCTGACTTTAGGTGATCCACCTGCCTCAAATCCCAAAGTGCTGGGATTACAGGCATGAACCACTGTGCCCCAGCCTGAGCTTTACTCTTAATTCATAGTCATTGCTGCCCCACCCAGGGATAGTTTCCCTGTGATAAAGGATGCCTGAAAGCCTTCCACAGACCCAAAGGGACAGATCTGTAAGAGTGAGATTTCCAGTGCCCACTATAGGCAGTAGGAGAGTAGATGTTGTTTTGAGAATACAGCCTAGCCAGTGTTCCTCCAGTCAAACCTCGTGGCTCTGGGGCCAAGGCCTACACCTGCTCTCCACCCCTATCCTAAGCTCCATTCACTTCCTGGGATGGGTAATGGCCTGAGGGAAACTTCAGGGTGGAAAGGGCATTATCCAGGTGTTGCCATTAGCTGGCTGCCTCTTCTCCCAGGCTTTCTGAAGGTTTCTGCCCTTTACCTCCCCTCATCCTCCGCCCTCAGATAATGTTCTGTTGATAGAATTCGTCCTCTTCTTGCCCTTTTCCAGCAGCCTGACAGCCTCTCTGAGCTGTATATAAGTGGGGTTTGGGAGAGTTCCAGGAACAGCTATAAGATCATGAACTGCCTCAATCTGGAATCCTTTCCCACAGCCTGACCTTCTCCTTCTGTATCCTCCTGTCCCCTACCTTCAGTCTCATCTGGACTTAGTTCTGGAAGCATCAGTAGAGTTCCCATACATACTCTTTTTTTTTTTTTTTTTCTTTTTCAAGACAGAGTCTTGCTCTGTTGCTCAGGCTGGAGTGCAGAGGCATGGTCTCTGCTCACTGCAACTTCCACGTCCTGGGTTCAAGCAATTCTCCTGCCTCAGCCTCCCGAGTAGCTGGGATTACAGGCACATGCAACCACACCCAGCAAATTTTTGTATTCTTAGTAGAGACAGGGTTTCACCATGTTGACCAGGCTGCTCTCAAACTCTTGACCTTGTGATCCGCCCACCTCGGCCTCCCAAAGTGCTGGGATTACAGGCGTGAGCCACCTCGCCCAGTCCCCCATACATCCTCTTAACTCTTAACTGAGTTCCCTCCAATCACAGCCCCACAGGAGTTAGCCTTCTCTCCATGTTCTCTACCAGCCTCCCCCTACACACACCATTCATCCACTACTCCAAATAAACTTTCAGAATAAGTAAAAACTGTTCCTGCTAAACAAACAGCTTCTTCTGGCTTCTAAGAACATTGCCATTCCTGAGCTCCTCCCAGACAGAAATTCTGAGAGCTGGTGCCAACACTGATTCTTCCCTGGGTGACTGCGTTTCAGGGTCAAGTAGCAGAAGGCCCGAACCATTATACAGAGCAGCCTCCACCATGGCCGAGGCCCAAGATGTGTCTCCAAAGATATTTTGTGGGTCATATGTTTATGAGTTTTGGTGGAAAACGTGTTATGTGTGTGAAAGTGTGTGTGTTAGATCAAGTGGCAGGGATGTAACAGGAAAAGGATGGAACTAAAGTTTAGCGGGTCTAGGTCTTGGACCTTGCTCTGCCTTTAACAAACCGTGTGCCTTTGAGTAAGTTACTTCCCTCTCTGGGTGCCTATTTCCTTAAATGCAGTGTGATGGATTTAACTAGAGAAGGAGTTTTTAGATGTTATTTAATTAATTAATTAATTAATTTTTTTTGAGACAGAGTTTCACTCTTGTTGCCCAGGCTGGAGTGCAATGGCACGATCTTGGCTCACTGCAACCTCCACCTCCCAGATTCAAGCGATTCTCCTGTCTCAGCCTCCTGAGTAGCTGGGATTACAGGCATGCACCACCACGCCCAGCTAATTTTTATATTTTTAGTAGAGATGGGGTTTCTCCATGTTGGTCAGGCTGGTCTCAAACTCCAGACCTCAGGTGATCCACCAGCCTCGGCCTCCCAAAGTGCTGGGATTACAGGTGTGAACCAGCACGCTTAGTCTAGATGTTGTTATTATTATTATTATTATTTAGCGGTTAGACTCGCTCCTCCAAATTTGTTTAAACCTCTTTTAAATAACTTTATTTCAAACTCCATAGCCAAGACCAGGTGTGGTGGATCACACCTATAATCCCAGGATTTGGGGTGGCTGAGGTGGGAGGATCACTTGAGACCAGGAGTTCAAGACCAGCTTGGGCAATGGAGTGAGACCCCATCTCTACAAGAAAAATTTAAAAATCAAATAAAAGTCTGTAGCCAGATTAATACATTAAAGTGTCTCTTCTGGGTCAGGCACAGTGGCTCACACCTGTAATCCCAGCACTTTGGGAGGCTGAGGTGGGTGGATCACTTGTGATCAAGAGTTCGAGACCAACCTGGCCAACATGGTGAAACCCCATCTCTACTAAAAATACAAAAATTAGCCAGGCTGGTGATGGGTGCCTGTAATCCCAGCTACTCAGGAGGGTGAGGCAGGAAAATAGCTTGAACCTCAGGAGGCAGAGGTTGCAGTGAGCTGAAACTGCGCCACTGCACTCCAGCCTGGGCGACCGAGGGAGATGCTGTCTCAAAAAAACAAACAAACAAGCAAACAAACAAAAAAAGCAAAGGTGGCTCTTCCCTATCAAGATCAGAAAAATTTAAAACAAGGTTATAGTTGAAAACATTATGCTAAGGTGAAAGAAGCCAACCACAAAAGACCATATAGACTGTGTCCATTTATATGAAATGTCCAGAATAGGCAAATCTGAAAAAACAGAAAGTAGACTAATAGTTGCCTAGGTCTGTGGAGTTGAGGAGGAAACGGGGAGTGACTGAAAAATCATCAAATTGTATA